TTACTATAGTTCATAGGAGACAAAAGAAGAGAAAGAATGGAACCATCTGAACTTTACGCGTGTCTGTATAATGTTTCTTTTTAATTCCAACGGGTACTTTTTCGATTTTCAATAAAACATTTAATTCATCATAAATCAAACAAAAAGAACATCGTGAACACGCCTTGAAAATATCAACAGCTGAGGCAGTGGTCGGAAAACAACGTGAAGAGTTTTAACAGAAACTGCCAAAAATTAATACGCAGGACATCAGCGATCAAAACTAAGGGGCTATTTCAAAGTTGGATAGTGAACTACCAAGGACCCAAGCCGCAACACGGCGGCTACCTCTCTAGGAATCAATTCTAGACCCATTACAACAACTCCTTTGAGAATCCAACATTTTGATACATAATCGAACGCCACTAGACTGATGCTTTGCAAATTTCTCCTGAGATATACGGAGAGCCGGACTGTTTCCATACAAAAAGGTGGTCACGCTACAGAAGCGTGAGACTCTGACGCGCTTTATGATGCGTTAACTTGACTACTGCAGAAGGCTGAAACCATATGGACACCCGCATCTAAGGCACAAGATTCCTGTTTTGTGATTGGATGACACAAGAAGGGAAGAGGACCATGCTTCTAATACAGAATAGGAAATTTTCATAACAATCTGAAAGAAACCATCCCTGAAAAAAAAGAAAGACGTTCAGGTGCCCATTCCTTCCTTTTTTGGATTTTAGACTTGCGATCGAACTCGTCATTGGGAAGAAACGCGCTTCTGGCGCGACGCTGAAATCGTAGATGGGGCGCGGCATCGCTATGTACCATATCTATCAGTAATGAGCCGCGCCATTCGCGACTGCGATCGCGATTGCAATTGCAAAGTGTGACACCTATCTCAGTGACTATACCATTCGAAACAATTCACCTCTTTTGGGGCTCTGACTTCTGAAGTTCCATGTGCGAATCGACCAACGGTTTGAGCCATTTCGTGAACGCTAGAGTACTAATTTCAAGGGTTTTCAGAAAGTGAACGCAGGAATCCTTACTTTCCGTGAGTTTCTGACATCCGTGGGTAATTTAACGAATGCGACCCGGGAAAGACTCAAAACGCGAGACAGGGCGCTAAAACTTTGACCTAGACCCAACACTCAAACCGTTGCTCTCGCCTTGACTAGTACTGCTCACATCTCTACGTCTCTCTTCACCACGTCTGTTCCTTTGGCTCGGTGGTCACACTTTTACAATTTCTCTCGGCCGCCTTCATGGTAACTTCAGCGGGCCCAAATAAAAACCGTTATTATTGGTGTTCTCGGCTCCTTGTCTACACAGGCAGTCCCTTCCCAGTTTACTCCCATTTTCGAGCGCAATAGCCACACCGTGCTGAATAAATAACGTATACTCTATTTCGGAGGACGAGAAGAAAATCGAGTGCAGACCACACATCATAAGAGACGACGGCCAAGAGAAAGCGGCTTTTTTTGCTGATCGTCGTCTCCTATGGTGTGTGGTCTGCACTCGATCTTCTTCTCGGTCAAAAATCGAGGTTATTTTTCAACTCATGTTCCTGCCACAGCTTCCCCTATAATAAAATCTCAGTGCCTATTGTGTTTCCTAGTTTACCTACGCTACTTATTAAGCGGAAGAAGTCCTCGGGATAATGAAAAGGAAAGAAACTGATGCCATTACTATAATCTATCGAGTTCGAAGAAAAATGAAAAAGAAAGCAACTCCCTTACGAACATTACTAACAATAAGAGAAGTACAACTTTCAAAACAACAATCTATCACAGAAGAAGCACAGATTCAAGGAATACACTGTAAATAGCGGTCAACATGGAAATGGTAGGTTTCTAATCATGACGCACGTAAAACATGCTAGAACCGCATTAGAAAAATAATGCGATGAAAGTAGCGACGCATTGCTTACTCTAAGTCGAGAGCTTTGGCCTTGAGAACTGCCGGTGCAGAACTCGGTGGTAGTACACGAATATCCGTCACAATGGCTGTGATGAGGTCGGACGGTATCAGTTCCATTGACTCCCGATTTAAAAGTGCCACACGACCACCTCCTTGCACCTACAGAATGGCCTTTATTACTCGAAGACGTTAAGACGGTATATCCGAAATCGCAAGAACACACCTTGTCCACAAATTTAAATGTCTGAGAAAGAATAAGCACTGGAACATTGTAGGCTTTGGCTGTGAGTGCCACAAGCATACTGCCTTTCGGCGCAACAACGCAACCATTCGATAGCACCGCAGCACAGCCGAGAAGGACCATAGAACCCTGAAAGACACTAGTACGAAAACACACTGCTCAGCAGATGTGAAGATTTAGAAAAGTCCACCACCACGATTAACTCAAGTTTTTAGGCATCAAATGAGAATGAGACAGGTGCCGTCTCTTTTCGAAACTTGCAAACCATCTCTGACGTCAGGTAAGAGCATAACTGAGTGAGAGAAGAATGAGTGTGATAGCGACCCACTAGATTTTTCCACTTTTTTTTAAACAGGATTGTCGCAGTCTAGCACTTGGGTCATTTGGCACAATAGTCTTCAGAAAGGCCGCACGATTCATAATATGAGCAACCCTATTCTTCGGTTTACGGACTACTTGATTTTTCCTCAATGGTCCTGCCGCGATGGCTAGAGCACAGACGATTAGAGAACGGGTGAATCCCTAGGACTAAGCCTTGGAGAGGAGAGGGACCCGCGAGAGAGCGCAGAGGCGGTTTAAAGGGCTGAGTTCAAGTAGTCCGTCGACCCTATATCTTTGAGCTTCAATAAAATCGCCGGCGAGCTGCTTTTTGTGAAGCCAAAATCAAATGGTAACAAAATGTGACTTAAGTAGCCGCCACACTTTGCGACAGCTTGCAGGTCCGAGTCTCCGGTTTCCGCACGTGTAGAACATGATATTCTGTGATCGTACGATCGCATAATCATATCATATCAAAGAGCTTGTCTACATACACTCGAATACAGCAGTTCGAAAAGCGTGAAACCGCGGCACAGCTGAGCTGGGTGGAAATTTTATAAGATACCGACTGGATCGATTCCCGGACAACCAGGGTGAATATCGCTTGAGGATTCCTCAACGGCACGTCGAGGATTCTCTGCCCGATCAGAGACGATCTCTCGCGCGGACATTCACACTCGCCATGCCGTGCCGTCTGTGCCCTCCGCGCGGATGTTCACTCTCATGTTCAGGCACTATTTCGCATGGTAGAGAGCTATGGTCGAGGGAATCCTCGACCATTCTTCACCTGCGAACAACCGCCGTAACCTCCCTCTTCTATGTAAGCTCTGCGTTCCTCCTCCTCCCTTATCCTCCCTCCCCCTCCCCTGCTCTCCAGTGTCACTGCAGCACCTTGTGGAATGACCGAAAAGTGCTATGCAGGTGTTCATATAGACGTGGGTGTTATCACAATCATGCCAATACAAAACACTGATAGAGCAAGCCCTGCGAGCTACCCAGATTTGTTAACGGTTTAGCCGCCTTATCTTTGAACTCACTTCATTTGGCGAACGGACAGACAAACTTACGCACATACACACAAACAAGCCGACACACCAAGGTTGTGGTTTATATAATGAAGAGATGACGCTAGCTAAGACATCAGCAGTACTTCGAAGAAATTATTTCAAATTGTTTTAAAAAGATGAAGTTCATTTAAGAAGGCGAAAATCTATTGAACTGATTGTGAGAACTCACGCTCTTCATGACTGCACCGACCGAATTCAAATCTGTGTATCGACAACGAATCTTACGTTCAATAAATGACTGAATGTGTCGTAGCCCTGTAATAGTGAATTCGTTCATATGTGTCACCGCCTGCAAGCGCAATCCGTTCCTGATAGAAACATGCGTGCTCACCTTTTCCCTCCATTTCCGGGTCTATAACTGTAAATATTGCATCGAAGTCTTTTTCGACGGCGTCAAGAAGCACTCTATTAACTACAGGGCACCTTGAAACACAACTTATTATCATTGGAAATGCTGTGATTGCTTAAAAAATGATATTCACCACTCATACGTGATGACGTTTGGAGACGTCTTCATCTTCCCTAGGAGGTAGTCTGAAATGGCTCGGTATGCGCTACCGAAGTATTCCTCCTCACAATCATCCAACCACTTTTTCACGCTCTCAATGCCCTGAAAGTTTATTGAATGCTGAGTAATGCGTTCCATTAACATCATTATCTATGCAAATTACACAAGATAGGAAATTCCCTGTACTACGAGGAGAATTTGGAAAGCAAAAAAGGTTAAATCAAAAAAGAAGATTACCAGCAAGTTTCCACTCCGATCTGAAGTACCCATTTTCATAATTTCTTTCTTGAGCTGCCGAACTATGTTTCCTAAAGCGTATGGAAGCGGCCATCGACCTATAACTTCCCGTTGATTCTTCAAAAATAATAAGAGAATATTGTAAGAGTTTTCATGGCATACTTTCTTGGGTTAGGTAAGCAATCTGAGGTCGTATAGCAAGGTCTAGATCGTGACCCAACGAAGACGAGTCACGGTTCTCTTTCTGTCTCTGCGCGACCCAGTCAGCCAAATACTGAAAAAATGCTCAAAATTAAAGTGATGGCAGAACTATTATGTATCTAGTGACGAAATTACCTGTTTGAACGCTCCAAGAAAGTTGAGACACAGCGAGTCCACCTCATCTATCATGCCCAGCTCGCAACGTACTGCCAAATTAAGGAAAGCTGGGTGGATATGAGCTGTGGAAGGTGGTTCAGGGCATTCTGAGCATGGGCCAACAGGAACTGAAACGGGTTCGAAACCTATAGTAAGTAGATCTTCCGATTACAATAAATCGCCAGTAAAGAAACTCACCATCGCTACATACACTTTCCTCTGATGGTGACGCCATAGTGTTAGCTGTCAAATCTTAATAGTAGACCTCTGGTCTGTTTGTTTAATTTGAAATTCAAACTTGACAATGCAAACCTACCAAACTTCACTTCCCGAACTGGTTGATGCTTTCCATCGCCTCGCAAAGCGGATTTCCCTACACGTGCCACCTGAAGGGCAGATTTCAGTTTACGATGGTTCGAGAACAATAAGTTCTTTGACCCACCTGGGTTTGACTAGTGTCATCGTTAGCATCATTTTGAGCTTTCAATGCTTTGTTTATCCTTTTGATCGCTCGATCTTGCTTGCTTAATTCATTATTTTTGCTATGTTGCACCTTTCCTTGGCCTCCTTCAGCAGCTTTTTTGGCTGCTGCTGCTTCAGCTGGAATTTCATCTGTGTGAATGTGAAGCGGAGGGAAAAGACAACAAGCTTACCTCGCGCCTTCTTCTCAGCTGCTTTATTTGCTCGTTGAGCTTTCACTTCTTCGGCACTTTTTTGCTAAACCTTACACTTCTGAGGAAAAACTTAAATATTTTCATAGAACACTTACTTGATCTACATGAGCATGTGGCCGTGTGCCTTTTTCACATTTTGTGCATCTTTCCCTTTTGTAGCATTCTGGGTGGGCACCTTAGATGTTGTGTATTCCTTTGTGGCGCTTGCTGTTATGATCGTTGATTTTGCATCTTCATATCCACTGATTGCAGTGGCTTCAAGTTTAACCGCTCCAAGCACCTCGCCCATTTTCTGTATGCCTTCCGTCAGTTTGCTGATCGACAGCTGCAATAATGCCGTTATGAAACCTCGAAATATAGTAAACGGCTGGAGAGGGCCTATAAATATAGAAGCAAAAGAAAGCTGTTGAGAAGCGACACCGACGTTTAACACCAAGCAGAGCACCGTGAAAAAAAGAACACCAAGCGAACAGACAATAATATAGAAGCGAACTTAGAAAATTTTTCATCTGAATGAAGCCGCGGTCACAGTTTGTTTGTTGCAATCGCAAGATCGCACCATCATACGTATCTACTTCACACTCGAGCTCTTAACGAAGAGCAGTGAAGTCGCACTACGTCACTAGGCGCATGCATAGTCGGTCGTCCAATCGTAAAGATCTTACGATCGCACATGTTAGATACGTATCGATCTCCCAATGCGCGAACACGTCTGACGATCGACACGCATCCAATGCTGTGCGATCGGACGAACGACTATGAGTGCTCGATCGTTCCGTTTCGCTCTCTGTCGCGAAAGATTTAATCGGTCATGGTTAGAGGAAGGTGGCTACCTCAGCCTCCAACAGAACTGATAGGGAGATCCGTGAGCCAAAAGAGATGTAGGAATCAAGGTGCTGGAGAGGCTGGGTGGTGCATGAGCCAGAGTGCGAGGTCACTTTAATCATGAACCGCTTTTCAACCGAGTGAGCGAAAACGAGGGCAACACATTCACGTGGTTTCAAGAAAGCCGAGTTTTAGTAGCCCGTAGTTAAAGGAAGCTGCGCGGTGCAAGACCTCCTTGCTTTCGCTTCCACATATTCCACTCCGGAGCATACATCCTCTTATTCAGGACCTCGCAAATTTATTAGGAGAAAGTAAAAAGTTAGTCCTTTGCTAGTGGCCATAATACGTTTATTGTGAGTAGCACTGACTGCTAACCATCTATTTGGAGCTACCGTCGTTAGCTACTGTCATTCGTTTTAGTTTTCAGTTACTATGTGTTTTTGTTTCTATTTTTTCTGTTTTTAGTTTTTCTGTTTGGCGGTGTTAGTTTTCTTCTGCCTTTCTTGGGCACACTCTTATGAGTGATATATTAAAATATTAAAGAACAACCATAGTTTGCAACCCGCGGACCGAGTCGTGCGATCGCACAACCGAGATGCGTGTCGATCGTGCATCGTGCGGTCGCTTGGTGATTCGTTTTCCTCACCCGCCCCCCCCCCACCCCCTCCCCTCCCACCTCGATAGTGCATGCGATGGTCGGTCCGATCGGAGATTGCAGGCTATAACTGCGGCCAGTCACACAACATTATCAAGTTCTGGTCAAACCAAGGGGGATGCGGCAAGTTCTAGTCTGTTATATCGCCTAGCAGAAGGAGTTCGTACGTAATTGGAGGTGCAACTTGAAGGAAAATTCACTGGCTAAAAAGTTGTTTAAAGGAAGTGGTCACGATAATTCTCATGGGGACGATAAGGAAAGCTATGTATTGGAGTGGATAGGGGTCCTGCCCAATGTTAGAACACGTGAAGTTTCAGTGGCAGTGGCGCCTTATCAACGGAGTGATAAGGCGCCGAAATCCACTTCCGTTCAGCAAAAACCAAGACTTATCGATGTGGAAAGGGGTGCGATAAGAGCGTGCTAGATATGATACCGTTATCGTTATCGTCCCGTTTTCATTCTGGAGTGCACCTCTTATCAAGCAGCCGCACCTTCTTATCTCATCGTATCATATCTTCCATGGGCTTACACTCGTCCAACAATTACTGCCTCACACCTTATCGATTGATAACGCGAGGGTAGCAAATCCAGCGTGGAAGCCAGCGTGACGCTTCCTTTAGTGCTTAGAAGGTGAACAAGGCGAAAAGTATTTTGATTCGCCTTACCATTTACTTCTTCAAACATACTGAATGATTGGAAGCAAAGCCGAATTTCAAGCGAAGCTGTCTATGAGCACTACTCCATGCAGTATAGCTCCTAACAGCCACCTTCAGTTGACCCACTGGATCTTAACAGCTTGCGCCGGTATACTTCCCGGACTCTTGGCAGCTTTGGACATCATGAATCTGAACAGTCAAGAAATGACCAGAGATAGCCAAACGAAACGCACAGAAGCTTTGAAGAGACGAGAATTGAACGAAAAACGATTAGAAACGAGCAGAAAGGCAAACCTTCAGCCAGTGATATGCCAAGCTATCCCGACGGTATCTCCTGATAACGATATTATAACCTCAGTCCGGTACCATTCGTACCGTAACCCAAAAAGAGGCGTGTAATGTGGCGTGATGCTGCACATTACACGAAAACATCAATTTTGCGGCGGACTGCGAGGATTTCGTATATTTGATTGCGAAAATAAAAGTGGTGTTTTGTATTTCGCGCAACCGCCGCCTGTCAAGGCGGTACCCGTACCTACGGGAGCCGTAGGACGAGGCAGCGAGACTGGCCGTAGGCCAAGAAGTCGACGCGGTAGCGTCGCGGTCGAGCTGACCTCGGGATTTCGGTGTTGAAATCCCCATTCCGGCTTATCGTTAGATTCTGACAGGTCGTGTCGCACATTTATCGTAAAGTTTAATATTTATATCGCTATTCTCCAGTTACAGTGAGGTTGTATACATTGTACTGGTGGTTGTTGAACGACTGATTCGTGAAGTTGATCCGTATATCTTTATCATTGTCGGGACTCGCAGTCTCCCACGACATAGTCGTTTACTGTAATATTGTGTTGTTGGTCATCTCAATGAATGGGCATTGGTGCGAATCGTTAGAAAGCTCATGGCAAAGGGCCAATCAAAGGTGTTATTTTCCAATCCTTCATAGGTTTCGGCATGTAGTCATTGTATCCATTTTCTCAATGAGGATGGCGGCGTAATGTATAATTTTCCTTTTTTTGAGACTAGTTGCCTTTATAGTTTAAGGGCATTCGTAACAGTAAGGTTACATCTTTCCAGGGAAACAGCGTTTTCCAATTATCACAGGTCGCTCGGTCTCTCATGGCTTATATATTCCGCATACCATTGCGAATTGTGTGGACAAGTCCACAATAGTTACTGGTCCTGGGTCGCGTTTAGACTTTCTTGGGTATACACTTTGCAGGACCCTTTGGCCTACTTGTCCACCCCTCCCTTTCTGGGGAACGGGAACTGCTGCGCACTAAGGCGCAATTTCAACCAAATTCCACAGGGTTTTTTGCATTTTCGGAAGAATTCGGTCAGCTTGTGAGCAGTATCTCAGTTCTTGGCTATTGAGCCTACATCCGTTTATCACGCAGGTGCACAGACTAGACAGTTAGTTATTTGCCCTCAAGGCTTGTAAGTGTTCCGCACTCTGACGCGATGAATTTAAGCAATTTGTAGGAAAAGGCTGTATTCCTTACGGGCTACTGAGTCGATTTCCGTCCGCACACCGGTGCAAAGGTTGGCTACTGAGCCTAGGTCTTTCCGCTAACTGGTGCGAAG